CTATCACTGTGTCACTGTCATAGAATTGTCTGTGTGATAAAATCCCCCTCTGGTGTCCAAATAGTCTGTGCAGCTGACTTGTCTGCAACTGCCTTTAATACCCCAGTTCCATTCTGCCCTGAAATCAGGGACTTCAGGGGACACTGAAGAGATGTAAGGGAAATCATGCTTCAATCTTAACATAAGAAATATGAAATTTAGAGACACTTAATTCAGTCACAAATCTGATGATCTGAAATATCATATTCACAACATATGACATTCCTTTCTTTTTTATTTTTTCATATTTATTTTTTAGTTTTTGGTGGACACAACATCTTTATTTTTATTTAGTGCTGAGGATTGAACCCAGTGCCCCATGCATGCCAGGCAAGTACGCTACAGCTTGAGCCACATCCCCAGCCCAACAACATATGATGTTCTTTACCTAAGACTTGGAGGTGATATCCACGACAGAAATTCCCATGATATGTTGCCATTTGACACCTAAAATATCCATCATGAGTGATGGCTGTTGCATAAATCTGAAGGTGAGGACTCTGGTCAGGTCTGGAGGCCCAGGTTATTCTCCTGTCAACACAGCTGGTTTTGATGGTCTGGTTTGTTTCCCTGTTGTGAGCAATTTTGCACGAAGGCTTGTTTCTGAAGCGTATTTGCCATGTTGTTATCAGTACTCTTGTCAATGAAATACAAGGGCAATAGAGCACCACCTTGGTACCCATCTGCACAGACAGTGAAGTGGTAACTGGACACACATGCATACATACACAAGGAGAATGAGAAAAGGAAGCCTTGATAAAGGACCTGTGTGTGTGATTTATCCACCCCACATTACATGAAGTCCTAGTACAACATTGCTTAGCTGGCGACCTTACTCCAGAAATACTAGATTTACATAAGAAATTAACATTCACAAAATATCCGTAATGTACTAAAGGAAATTCAGATATTAACAATTTTTCTCCTGTAGTATGAATTATTAGGGAAACTATGCATTATAAAATATGTTGAAATTAAATCAGGAGTTTCAATGTCTAGAAACAGACATGAAGACAGAATTCTAAATTAAATGACAAAGATAATGTTCTAATTCTAATATTTTGGCAGTGAGCAATACTGATTTGATTGTACAATTCATACTCGTAGGGAGATAAATAAAATGGAATAATTATCAGGTTGTGATCTCCCCTTGAGGTTTGATGAGTACAAAACTATCAGTAACATTAAATCTAAATGCCTGTTACTAAGGGTGCAATTCCAGACAACATAAATGTGGGAAGTATGTGGCATTTTTACTAAAGTTAAATAATATAGCATTTAGATTGAGCGTGATGGAATTTTTTAATTTTTTATAATTTACAAATCACAAGTCAGTAAAACCAATATATCTTGAAATAATATGCAGTTTCAGCAGTTCAGCCATTCCATGAAAATGAAAAAATGATAATGCCTAGTGAAAAGAGAACTTCAAAATATTTATTTATGGTAAAAAAAGTAGTTTGGTGTATAAAAAAATGAAAAACTTTCAGTTTTTACTGTAAATGTGTGATATTATCAAACATAGTATCTGGAGAAGTTTCCCTTCCTTCTTGTTTAGAGCAACATATATCCACAGATAAATGAATTATGACGTGTGCTCAAATATTTTGCTGCAGCATGTTCAATCCAGTTCTCAGAATTAAATATAAAAGTTGACCCCTTGTGTCCATGTTTTAAAGCAAAACTTGAGACCTGTAACCTACAAACATCTTCTAATATAGAATCTCACACTTCCCATAAACCAGCATAAACTGTCCATGACTGAGCATGGTTTACTGAGAGGTGGTTACTCAACCAATGCACCTGCCTCAACTCACCTGTAACAAAGGTGAGGTCAGTGATGTCATCACTGTAACACAGGCAGAGCGGTTATGGTGGAGCAAACCTTTTGTGTGAATGAAACTTTCTTACCCTAAAATCTATAATTAATATCTGTCCTTTCCTGTTTTAGTATCACTCTCTTTTCTGGGTACTCAAGCCTTTGCATTTTGTGGTCAACTAAAGATCATGTAACTAGAAGAAGAAAGAGATAGGACTTGAACACAGTCCTGACAGAAAGTCAAACCCACGCTCTTCCCACCACTCTAACTTGACACAGGTGTAGCAGCAAGTAAGACTGTACCTTGTTCAGGGAGCAAGTAGTGGTAGTGTCACTTGGGACACCTCAGAACAAAACACTCAGATTGCCATATTCTAAAGCCAGACAAGAGGCTGCCCATCAGCCACTGTTTCTAACAAAGTTCACCTCTCCATCCCCTCCGTGCTGGCCCTCAATAAGGAAGCATATTACCTTCCATAAGGGGTAATGCCATCTGCTGTGCATCTAAGCATGAACTACTTGAATCTAGAGAATATTTAGAGAAGAGTAAATGAGATCAATTTGATATGCTCAAATGGAGGGGAAGCCAGTATTTCTCCATGTTCTCCTTCAACATGAGAGACAATTGGTTAACCATCACGAAAATTATATAACCATTGCAAAACACAAATTAGAAGTTATGCCATCTAGTAATAAAACTATATTAATATGTTGAAAATTATATTCAGAAGGTATTAATCAAAGATTTCACATTTTTCAGACACCTAATCTTGTCAACCATTTACACAAGGTAACCCTGTCTCCCTTCTCCAGCCAGAAGGATTGGTCAAGTGTGGGCATCTCACATGATCTGACTCAACTCCTTTCTCCATATGCCACTCCCTAATTAAAGTTGTTTGGTCTAATGATGGGACCCTCACCCTGACAGATAAAGCAGAGCCTTTTCTCAAGGATTTTAGAAACAGAATTGAGAAGACTTCATTTGTCTACCCTTTTTCCATATTTTTCCTACTTTGGAAGATTAAAAAAATGGAGGGGAAATGATGCAGAATAAGAGGGAGGAACAGAGGTGAGAGTCCTTATCTACTTCAATGTTCTAATTTCATAGTTCCAAGACCCACATGCAATAGTTCCCTTGGGTGCTATAATATTTTTTATAATGAAAATTATCCTGAGCACCTTCATAGTAAAACTAAAGATTCCTGAGTCAAGGATCCAGACATTAGGAAGGGTGGAGCTGAAGTGCCAAACCAAAGAGCAATATTAAAGGAAAGTCTGAGCTATGAACAGTGGAATGTGTGAACACACACAGCATTCTCCCTTCCCAGAACACCAGGGTCAGGTTTATTCTTCCAGGGCAAAGCACTGGAGAGTAATTCTCCAAAGAGTATGAACAGTTCCAGAGGAAAAAGACCTTCAGAAATGTAAGGAAGAACCAATTTTTTTAAAGATAAAAATCATTTACCTTCTTGTTCATGTATCAAAACTTATTAGTTTGTAAATCCCACCATCAGATAATACAGCTTTGAATTGGTTCTTTAGTGCTCAATTTGAAATTTATTGAGAGCAAGGATTACCAAAGGGTTAATAAAAGTATTGTATGTGGGGAAAAAAGATGAAAAACAAACCAATATCCAGGAGAAAAAAGGAGCTCAGATTAAGTAAACATAGGATCAGGCAGAAGATTGAGGCAAGGAGAATGTCCAGGCCCGTAGCTTGCAGAAAGTCAAGTGACCAGCAAAACTTATTAGTCTCAGAGCATTAAAAAAAACTTCAAGAAAGTTGTCTTCAGAGGGAAAAAAATATTACTAGTTGTTCTCTAGTTCAGTCAGTGAGATCAATAATAAGTAACAATAGGTATATATATCATTAAGGAATCCCAAAAAAGTAAAGCAATTATGAAGTCCAGGAAAAATAAGAAGTTATTCAAAAGAGAAAGAATTACTTTATTTCTTGATTCAGCACTTAATAACAAATTAATGCAAACATTGGCCACTTAAGTTAATGAAGTGGTGATATATTAATAACATGAAAGATGAGGAAAGGGAGTAAGATAAGGTTAAATCTTCATCTACCATAAGAGAAAGTGAGTACATAAAGTCTAAATTCAACACACTAAGAAACAGCACTGTGAGAATGTGGTTTAAGAAAATGGAGTTAATTACCACAAGAAACACCTAAAGATTTCAAAGTACTTGCCTCTGGGGATTTGAATGAGGACACAGTTGTGGGGTTGGAAAGGCACTAGTAGGGCTGGTATCTTTTAGTTACTGACTTATAGAACAATTTGACTTTTAATTCTGTATGTTACATTGATGTTAATAATATTTAAAATTTTAAATAAAAGTAAATGAAGGTAGGATTGAAGCAGAGAACCAAGAAACAAATTACATATGTGATTATAAAAGCATTTAAGAAATTTTATCAGGAAGAGTCTAGAGGAGAAATTTTACCACACTAAAGTTCATGAAGGCAAATTTTTTTAATAACTTTATCCTTTTACTAAAACCATAAGCATTTTTTAAAATTATACTTTATCTTTCAATTAAAACCATGAATAATAAGGGAAGAAAGTGCCCCAAACAAAGATGCTACAATAATAGAATCCATTGACAGCACAGTACATGAAATGTCACAGACACAATTAATATAGTCAAAATGGCCATACTGCCAAAACTGTCACACAGATTTAATGCAATTCCTATTAAATGCCCATGACATTCTTCATAGAACTAGAAAAAGCAATCACTAAATTCATTTGGAAAAATAGAGACCCAGAATAGCCAAAGAAATCCTTAGCAAAAACAGTGAAGCAGGAGGCATCACAATATCAGACCTTAAACTATACTATAAAGCTATAGTAACAAGATGACATGGTATTGGTATTATGGCACAAAATAGAAGACACAGAGACAAACCCACTAAATACAGTTGTCTCACACTAGACAAAGGTACCAAAAACATACATTGGAGAAAAGATAGTCTCTTCAACAAATGGTGCTGGGAAAACTGGAAATCTACATGTAGCAAAATGAAATTAAACCGCTATCTTTCACAGTGCACAAAAGTCAGTTCAAAGTAGATCAAAGACTTAGACACTAGAACAGAGATCTTGAGCCTAATAGAAGAAACAGTAAGCCCAAATCTTCATCATGTTGGTTTAGGACCTGATTTCCTTAACAAGACTCCTAAAGTGCAGGAAGTAAAATCAAGAATCAATAAATGCATGGATTCAAACTAAAAAGCTTCTTCTCAGCAGAGGAAACAATTAATAACATGATGAGAGAGCCTACAGAATGGAAAAAAAATCTTTACGACACATACCTCAGATAGAGCACTAATCTCCAAGATATATAAAAAAGTCAAAAAATGTAACACCGAAAAAACAACCCAATCAATAAATGGACTAAGGAACTGAACAGACACTTCACAGAAAAAAAATACTATTGATCAAAAAATAAATGAAAAGTTGTTTATCCTCTTTAGTAATTACAGAAATGCAGATCAAAACTACTCTAAGATTTCATCTCACTCCAGTCAAAATGGCAATTATCAAGAATACAAGCAATAATAAATGTTGGTGATGATGTCCTCACTAGGTACACTCATACTTGCTGGTGAGACTGAAAATTGGTGCAACTACTATGGAAAGCAGTTTGAGATATCTCAGAAAACTTAGAAAAAAAACACCATTTGATCCAGCTGTCCCACTCCTTGGTTTATACCCAAAGGACTTCAAATCAGCATACTACAGTGACACAGCCACATCAATGTTTATAGCAGTTCAATTCACAATAACTAAACTGTGGAACCAACCTAGATGTCCTCAGCACATGAATGGATAAAGAAACTGTGAGATACACACACACACACACACACACACACACACACACACACACACACACAAAGTGGAATATTACTCAGCCTTAAACAAGAATGAAATTATGGCATTGGCAGGTAAATGGGTAAAACTAAAGAATATCATGCTAAGTGAAATAAACCAATCCTCAAAATTTAAAAGCTGAATGTTTTTTCTTATAAGTGGATGATGATCTATAGTTGCATGGGTGAGACAGAGAATAATTAAGAAACTTTGGTTTGTATAGATGGGTGTGAGGGGAGAGATGGGGCTGTAGGGATAGGAAGGATAGGAGAACGAGACAGATATTATTACCTTATATACATGTATAATTACACTACTGGAGTGACTCAGTACCATGTAGAGCCAGAAGAATGAGAAATCTGTGTCAAAACATTCTACTGTCATGTATATCTAATTAGAATATTTTTTAAAAGAATATTTAAAAAACATGAATATGCTTTTAAAAATACACTATTCAAGTCAATACTAGTATAGAATGGAGCATTAAAAGCCAGGTTTTAGAACCAGCCCAGGTGACTCTAAACAGATGAATGAATAAAGAATATGCAGTATATATGTATCATAGAGTTTTACTCAGCCAAAAAGCAGAATGAGTTTATGGCATTTGCTGGTAAATGAATGGAACTGGAGAACATTATGCCAACTGAAACAGGCCAGACTCAGAAACTGTCTTTTTATTTTGGAAACTAGAGATTAAAGTGGAGGCTAAAGTGGAGTATCTATAAATGAAATTTCTCTGTACATTCTTTTTTCCTTTCTGACATAATGCCTCTAAAAGAATGGGGGGGGGAACTAGAATTACTAACCAGGAAGCAGATCTATGGATTGACTCCTGTTGCCAGTCGGGTGGGAGACCAAGCAGGTCACGGTGGACAGATTGCCATCTGGATAATGGCACCTACTCCTGGTCGTCACTGTGCCATTGTCCTGGTATTCTTTCCCAGTGACACAATCCCCCTCCGGGGCCCAAAAAATCTGTGCAGCTGGCCTGCCTGCAATTGCTTTGCACTCCACAGTTCTGTTCTTCTCCAGAGACAGGGTCACTTCAGGGGGCACTGCAGAGATGGAAGGAAAATCATGCTTCAGTCTCAACATACGGTTATGGGATTACAGAGACACCTGTTTCAGTCACAAATCCAGTTAACCCAAAATATCACAGTAGACGTCATTCTTTACCTAACACTTGGAGGTGATATGTATGTTCAAAATTTCCTTCAAGTGTTCCCATTTCACACCTGTAATCCCCTTCATGTGAGATGGACACTGGATGGATCTGAAGTTCAGGATTCTGGTCAGGTCTGGAGGCCCAGGAGATTCTCCCATCAGTACAGTTGTTTTTCTCAGACTGATTTCTTTCTCTGTTGAGGGACATGCTGCACGAAAGCTTGTCTCTGAGGTGTATTTTCCATGTTGTTATTATCAACACTGATGTTGGTGGAATATGAGGGCAACAGAGCACAGCCTTTGTACCCATCTGCACAGACAGTGAAATGTCATCTGGACACACACAAGGAGAATGAGAAAAGAAAACCTTGATAAAGAACTTTGTGTTTTCAATTTGTTCACAGAAGATTACATAAAGTTGTGCTAGAACCTTGCTTTCCAGTTGATCTTATTCCAGAAATATTAGACTTATACAATAAATTAACATTCACAAAATATATATAATGTACTATACCAAATCCAAATGTTAACCAATTTCATCCAGTATTATGCATTACCATGGAAAGAAAATGCATCATAAATATATTGAAATTAAATCAGAGTTTTGATATCTAAAAACAGACTGACATAAAAAAGAGTTATAGATAAAATGACAATTTAGGACAAGTAATGTTCTAAATCTGATGTTTTAGTGATGAGCAATGTTGGATTAGTCACAAAATATATGCTCCTTGGGAAACAAAAGAAAACAGAATATTAGTTATGTGGTTGTCTCCCCTTGAATTTTGATAAATGTCAAAAAAACCTGGTAGCATCAAAATTGAATATCTGTCCCTCATGGTAACATTTAAGATAAACATGCATCTAGAAAATATATGATACTTTCATTAAAAGTAACTCAGATGGAATTCAGGTTGAACTAGTTGGAAACATTTTATATTTTTAGAGAATAACAAACTCAGTGAAATCAACAGATTTTAGTATAATCTGTTATTTCATCAGATTAGTAATTACATATAAAAGAAAAATGACAATGCCTAGTGACAAGACTTGTCTACATATATTCACTTCAGGTGAAAAAGAAATGTGCTATGTAAATTAAGAAACAAAAACCAAAATTTTTACTGTTTTGGAAATTTTTCATAAAAAAAGGATTTTATTGCGAAGGTGTGATATTATCATAGACTTTAGATATTTTTTCTTCCTTCTTGTTTAGACCAACATATACCCACAGATAAATTATGACCTGCGCTTACGTATTTTGTTTTAGTATGTTCAATCCAATTCTCAGAATTTAATATAACAGTTGACCCCTTGTGTCTATCTTTTAAAGCAAAATTTGAGCCCTCTGACCTATAAATATCATCAAACATAGAATCTCACCTTCCCATAAAACAGCATAAGCTGTCCATGACTGAGCATGGTTTACTGAGAGGCGCCCCTGCCACAACTCACCTGTAACAAAGGTGAGGTCATTATGTCATCACTTTAACACAGGCAGGGCAGCTATAATAGAGCAAACCTTTTATGTGAATGAAACTTTCTTTCACTAAAATCTACCATTAATACCTGTCCTTTCCTGTTTTAGTATCACTCTCTCTTTTGTGTATACAAGTGCTTGCATTTCATGGTCAACCAAACATCACATAACTAGATGAAGAAAGAATGGAACCTGAACTCAGTCCTGACAGGAAGTTAAACCCATGCTCTTCCCACCACTATAACTTGACACAGGTGTAGCAGCAAATAAGATTGTGCCTTGTTCAGGGAGCAAGTAGTGGTAGGGTCACTTGGGGCACCTCAACCACAACATTCAGATCACCATATTGAAAAGTTAGTCATAGGGCTGGCCTGCAGCCAGGTCATCAGCCACTGTTTCTAACAAAGTTCCACTCTCCATCCTCTCAGTGTTGGTCCTTGATAAAGAAGCATATTACCTTCTGCAGGGCTGAGTGTCGTCTGATTTCCATCCAAGCATGAACTAATTGAATCTAGAGAATATTTAGAGAAGAGTAAATGAAATCAATTTTATATGCTCAAATAGACTAGAAGCCATTATTTCTCCATATTCTCCTTCAACATGAGAGACAATTGGTTAACCATCACTAAAATCATATAATCATTGCAAAACAGAAATTAGAAATTATGCCATCTAGCAATAAAAGTAATTTAATATCTTGAAAATTATACTTGGAAGGTATTAATCAATGATTTCCCACTATGGAACCCTTCATTTTTTTCAACCATTTTATACAAGGTAACCCTGTCTCCCTTCTTCCACTCCCAACTCCTTCTCCAGCTAGGGGGATTGGTACAGTATGGGCATCTAACTGTATATGCTACCTCCTAACTAAAGTTATATGGTCCAGTGATGAGAACCTCACCTAGATGGAAAAGGAGAGCCTTTTCTCAAGGAATTTAGGATCAGAATTGAGAAGAATTCATTTATCTCTCTTCTGTCCCAAAGTTTTTTTTTAATTTAAAAAGGGAGGCAGTGATGCAAAGTCAGAAGGAGGAACAAAGTTGGAAGTCCTCACCTCCTTCAACTTTCTAACTTCACGGTTCCTAAGACCCTTGGGTGAGATGAATTCTTTTCTCATCAAAGTAGTCCTATACACTCTCAAATATGATTACTGAGAGCTTGCTTTATTGTGTTTAAAAAAAAAACAAGATGCAAGAGTGAGAAATTCAAATTATTTTGTTATTATGTGGTACTTGTATTAACCATGAAGCAAAATACTGTTTATGAAAGTATATTCAGGTTAGTCATAAATGCATATTGCAAATTCTAGGGCAACCATGAAAAGTAAAAATAGAAACATATTTGTTATACTAAGAAAGGAGACAAAACAGAATTATTAAAAATGCTCCACTGAAACCATAAAAGGCAGACAGAAGGGGAAAAAAAGGAAAGAGAGCAACAAAAGGAAAACAGTAGAAACTACAGCAGCTTGTAATCCAAATATATCAGGTCAGTTTGAAAATCAATGATCTAAACACACCAATTAAGAGAGAAATTCTTCACTATAGGTCAAACAGCAAGACCCAACTGTATTATATCTATACAAAATTCACATAAATATAAGGATCAATATAGTTTAAATGTACAAGGGAGGAAAAGAGTTACTATGATAATTCTAGTAAAAGAAAGTGTGAATAGTTACATTAATTTAGTTAGAAAAGATTTCAGAACAAGGAAAAGTATCAGAGCTAAAGACAGGCATTGTGTAAGGTTAAAGTGATCAATTCTCCAAGAAGACTTAATATTCTTAACACATACATACCTAACAACAGAGTGTCAAAATGTATGAAACTAAAACTGATATAATATTAAGAATAAATCAAAATGGACAGAACCAACAGGCATAAAATCAGAAAGGACACATATAACTGAACTCAATAATCCCATCAATCAACTCAGTATAACTGACCTCTCTAGACTACTTTCATCAACAAGGGGATACATATTCTGTTCTTAATAGTTTTTAAAATTAGTCTTGTGGATATACATGACAGTGAGATTCGCAGTGGTATATTGATACATGTACATAGGAAAATTAGGTCAGATTCATTTTACTGTACTTTTCTTATCCCACCCCTCCTCACCTCACATCATCTAGCAATCTACTTCCAGTCATATATCCAAAAGATCTGAAATACATATGTCATGTATATCTGCACTATTCTGTTAATTTCAGCATTATTCAAAATAGCTAAGATATGCAAATACTTAAATGTCCATCACTGGGGAAAGGACAAAACAAGTATAGATACATATATATTTTCCACTTCACACACACACATACAACAGAATAGCCTTTTAAAAAGAAGGAAATTTTGTCATTCATGACAACAAGAGATGGAAGTGCTAAGTGAAATTATTATGCTAAGTGAAATAAGTCAAATACAGGAAAACGAATACTATATTATCTCACTTTTTTTAAAGAGAGAGAGAAAAAACTTTTTTAATATTTATTTTTTAGTTTTCGGTGGACACAACATCTCATCTTTATTTTATTTTGTATGTGGTGCTGAAGATAGAACCCAGTGCCCCGCATGCCAGGTGAGCACGCTACCGCTTGAGCCACATCCCCAGCCCATGATCTCACTTTTATATAGAATCTAAAAAGGTAGATCTCATAGAAACAAAGAGTAAAAACGTGGTTACCAGACACTGGAGGTTTTGGGGAGGAACAGCAAAAAGTAAGGTGTTGGTCCAAGGATAAAAATTCTAATTAGACTGGAGGGATAAGTTTTAATGGTCTATTGTACTGCATGGTGACAACAGTTAGTGCATCACTGGAGTAAGAGACATCAGAAGCTGTGTGCCAGATAGTGCACAAATTTATCATTACAGGACAATTCAAAAAGCATCTTACAATTGAATCAAGAGAATCCTTGTCCCTATTTAAAGATGGTTTTATTTTCTTCTAAAAATGTCAAAATGTCACACTTACCAGGTACCATGATAATGATGGAGGTCAGTAACCTCAAAGCCAAAGTATTCTTCAAAGTATGCATTTAGAGTGGTGTTCTACTTAAACACAAATCCACTGTGAATCAATCTCTGGGCTCATTGAATCTCTCCCTTCTTGTCACTTGTGTGTACTCTCAGTTCAACAGGATTACATGTTATTTCTCCTTTTCATTTTGTTTATTGTTATCTTAATTTTCTTTCTGTATGATTTTCGCTGATTAGTCATGGGAAGGAAATACAATTAGTTTTGGTGAGTGATAACGGAAAAAAGCCAAGAATCATTGATTCTCCCATAGCACTAAAATAACAAAATTAATTACATAGCAATTTATGGGATAGGGAAAGTCAATGAAATGAATCTAGCCTGACTTTCCTACATTTGTATATGAATATACCACATTGTATCTCAACATCATGTACATCCATAAGACACTAGTTTAAAAAAATTATTAATTTATTTATTAAAGATAAAGGACATACCAATTTATTTTATTTTTAGTGATGCATTATAATTATACAAAGAGTGAGATTCTTTATATTTGTATATGCACATAGTATAATTGGTCAAATTTTATTTTAAAAGTAACATTATTAAAAGTATAAATTATATATGATAAAATGCACAGAGAGGTTACACCTTGGTGAACTTGTACATATATACATACACTCACATAAACATTTTCAAAATCAAGGTGGCTCTCATTTTGATTACTCAAAATTTCCTTTATGCTT